TCCTGGGCATACACACTGAGGAAACCAGATCTAAAAGAGACACGTGCACCCCAATGTTCAACGGAGCACTGTTTATCATAGCCAGGACATGGAAGCAACCTAGATGCCCATCCGCAGATGAATGGATAAGGAAGCTGTGGTACATATACACCATGGAATATTACTCAGCCGTTAAAAAGAATTCATTTGAATCAGTTCTAATGAGATGGGTGAAACTGGAGCCCATTGTACAGAGTGAAGTATGCCAGAAAGATAAAGAACATTACGGCATACTAACATATATACATGGAATTTAGAAAGATGGTAACGATTACCCTATATGCAAAACAGAAAAAGAGACCCAGATGTACAGAACAGACTTTTGGACTCTGTGGGAGAAGTCGAGGGTGGGATGTTTCGAGAGAACATCATCAAAACATGTATATTATCTATAGTGAAACAGATCACCAGCCCAGGTTGGATGCCTGAGAGAAGTGCTTGGGCCTGGTGCACTGGGAAGACCAAGAGGAATCAGGTGGAGAGGGAGTTGGGATGGGGGATCGGGATGGGGAATACATGTAAATCCATGGCTGATTCATGTCAATGTACGACAAAACCCACTACAATACTGTAAAGTAATTAGCCTCCAACTAATAAAAATAAATGGAAAAAAAGAAGAAAAAAAAAACCTTGACATTCAAAACATGAAGATCATGGTATCCAGTCCCAACATTTCATTGCAAATAGATGGGGAAAAATTGGAAATAGTGACAGAGATTATTTTCCTGGGCTCCAAAATCACTGCAGATGGTGACTGCATCCATGAAATTAAAAGCCACTTGCTCCTTTGAAGAAAAGCTATGACCAACCTAAACAGCATATTAAAAAGCAGACATTACTTTGTCCACAAACGTGTTAGTCAAAGTTATGGCTTTTCAAGTAGTCATGTAGGATATGAGAGTTGGATATGGGTGGCCAATAATTGATGTTTTTGAACTGTGGTGTTGGAGAAGACTCTTGAGAGTCCCGTGGACTGTAAGGAGATCAAACCAGCCTATCCAAAAGTAAATCAGTCCTGGATATTCATTGGAAGGATTGATGCTGAGGCTGAAACTCCAATACTTTGGAAACCTGACGGGAAGAACGGACTCATTGGAAAAGACCCTGATGCTGGGAAAGATTAAAGGCAGGAGGAGAAGGGTATGACAGAGAATGAGATGGTTGGATGGCATCAGCAACTCAATGGCCATGAGTTTGAGCAGGCTCTGGGAGTTGGTGATGGACAGGGAGGCCTGGCATGCTGCAGCCCATGGGGTCACAGAGTCAGACAGGACTGAGGACTGAACGGATCTTGGTCCTGAGATTAAGTCACTACCTTTTTCATGACCTTGGTCACTTTCTCTTACCTTGGACGTGGGGTATCTCTTCACGGCTGCTCCAGCACATCACAGTCACTGCTCCTGACGTTGACCTTGGGGTATCTCCTCCTGGGCACTGGACGTGGGGTATCTCCTCCCAGCTGCTCTCTGCTCCAGCACTGCACAGCTGCACAAGGTAAGAGAAACCCCCGTAATATGACAGGTGCTGAGAGAGGGCATCAGAGGGAAGACAGCCTGGAACCACAGTCACAGAAAACTAACCAGTCTAATCACAGAACCACAGTCTTGTCTAACTCAATGAAACTAAGCCACGCTGTGTGGGGCCACCCAAGATGGACGGGTCATGGTGGAGAGTTCTGACAAAATGTGGTCCACTGGAGAAGGGAACGGCAAACCACTTCAGTATTCTTGCCTTGAGAAATCCATGAACAGGATGAAAAGGCAAAAAGTTAGGACACTAAAAGATGAACTCCTCAGGTCAGTAGGCACCCAAAATGCTACTGGAGATCAGTAGGGAAATAAATCCAGAAAGAATGAAGAGATGGAGCCAAAGCAAAGACAACACACAATTGTGGATGTGACTGGGGATAGAAGTAAGGTCTGATGCTGTAAAGAGCAATACTGCATAGGAATCTGGAATGTTTGGTCCATGAATCAAGGCAAATTGGAAGTGGCCAAAGAGGAGATGGCAAGAGTGAGCATCAACGTTTAGGAATCAGTGAATTAAAATGGACTGGAACCAGTGAATTTAACTCACACGACCACTTTGTCTACTACTGTGGCCAAGAATTCCTTCGATGAAATGGAGTACCCATCACAGTCAACAAGAGAGTCCGAAACACAGGACTTGGATGCAATCTCAAAAATGACAGAATGATCTCTCTTCACTTCCAAGGCAAATCATTCAATATCACAGTAATCCGAGTCTATACCCTGACCAGCAACACTAAAGAAGCTGAAGTTGAACGGTTCTATGAAGACCGACAAGACCTTTTAGAACTGATACCCCAAAATGATGAGTTTTTCATTATAGGTGACTGGGATACAAAAGTAATAAGTCAAACACCCAGAGTAACAGGCAAATTTAGCCTTAGAGTACAGAATGAAGCAGGGAAAAGGCTAATAGAGTTCTGCCAAGAGAAGAAACTAGTCAGAGCAAAGAGCCTCTTCAAATAACACAAGAGAAGACTACACATGGACCTCACCAGATGGCCAACATTGAAATCAGATTGATTTATATTCTTTGCAGTCAAAGAAGGAGAAGCTCTATACAGTCAGTAAAAACAAGACCAGGAGCTGACTATGACTCAGATCATGAAGTCCTTATTGCCAAATTCAGACTGAAATGCAGAAAGTAGGGAAAACCACTAAACCACTAATGTGTGACCTAAATCAAATCTCTTACCATTATACAGTGGAAGTGAGAAATAGATTTAAGGGACTAGATCTGATTGAGTCCCTGATGATCTATGGATGGAGGTTCATGATATTGTAGAGGAGACAAGGATCAAGACCATCCCCAAGAAAAAGAAATGCAAAAAATCCAAAATGGCTGTCTGAGTAGGCCTTACAGGTAGCTGTGAAAAGAAGAAAAGTGAAAGGCAAAGGAGAAAAGGAAAGATATACCCATTTGAATGCAGACTTCCAACGAATAGCAAGGAGAGATAAGAAAGCCTTCCTCAGTGATCAGTACAAAGAAATAGAGGAAAACAACAGAATGGGAAAGACTAGAGACCTCTTCAAGAAAATCAGAGATACCAAGGGAACATTTCATGCAAAGATGGGAGAATAAAGGACAGAAATGGTATGGAACTAACAGAAGATATTTAAAAGAGGTGGCAAGAATACACAGAAATGTACAAAAAAGATCGTCACGACCCAGACAATCACAATGGTGTGATCACTCACCTACAGCCAGACATCCTGGAATGAGAAGTCAAATGAGCCTTAGGAAGCATCACTATGAACAAAGCTAATGGAGGTGATGGAATTCCAGGAAAGCTATTTCAAATCCTAAAAGACAATGCTATGAACATGCTGCACTCAACATACCAGCAAATTTGGAAAACTCAGCAGTGGCCATAGGACTGGAAAAGGTCAGTTTTCATTCCAATCTGAAACAAAGGCAATGCCAAAGAATGGTCAAACTACCACACAAATGCACTCATCTCACACGCTAGCAAAGTAATGCTCAAAATTCTCCAAGCCACGCTTCAGCAATATGTGAACCATGAAATTCCAGATGTTCTAGCTGGTTTGAGAACAGGCAGAGGAACCAGGGATCAAGTTGCCAACATTTGCTGGATCATTGAAAAAGCAAGAGAGTTCCAGAAAAACATCTATTTCTGCCTTACTGACGATGCCAAAGTCTTTGACTGAGTGGATCACGATAAAGTGTGGAAAATTCTGAAAGAGATGAGAATACCAAACCACCTGACCTGCCTCTAGAGAAACCTGTATGCAATTCGGGAAGCAACAGGTAGAACTGAACATGTAACAACTGACTGGTTCTAAACAGGAATAGGTATATGTCAAGGCTGTATATTGTCACCCTGCTTATTCAAATTATATGCAGAGTACATCATGAGAAACATTCAGCTGGGTGAAGCCCAAGCTGGAATCAAGGTTGCCAAGAGAAATACCAATAACCTCAGATACACAGATGATACCACCCTTATGGCAGAAAGTGAAGATTTTGTACTCCAAAACCACTGCAGATGGTGATTGCAGCTATGAAATTAAGACACTTACTCCTTGAAAGGAAAGTCATGGCCAACCTGGATAGCATATTAAAAAGCAGAGACATAACCTTGCCAACAAAGGTCCATCTAGTCAAGGCTATGGTTTTTCCAGTGGTCATGTATGGATGTGAGATTTGGACTGTGAAGAAAGCTGAGTGCCGAAAAATTGATGCTTTCCAACTGTGGTGTTGGAGACGACTCTTGGGAGTCCCTTGGACTGCAAGGAGTTTCAACAAGTCCACCCTAAAGAGATCAGCCCTGGGTGTTCATTAGAAAGGCTGATGTTGAAGCTGAAACTCCAATCCTTTGGCCACTTCATGTGAAGAGTTGACTCATTGGAAAAGACCCTGATGCTGGGAGGGATTCGGGGCAGGAGGAGAAGGGGACGACAGAGGATGAGATGGCTGGATGGCATCACCGACTGGATGGACATGACTTTGAGTAAACTCCAGGAGTTGGTGATGGACAGGGAGGCCTGGCGTGCTGCGATTCATGGGGTCACAAGGAGTCGGACATGACTGAGTGACTGAACTGAACTGTACCGGTTGAGCTGAGATGGCTCCTATCTTTTGTCCGGTTGCCCGGACTTCAGGGTTAACTTCTACTTCTGTCAAAGGTAAGCATAACTTTTTTCCATGTGAAGCCTACACTTTAGATAGAATATATCTTCCTAGGATGGGGGTTTTGCTGCAGATGAATGGATGAGATGGGTGGAGGGGGCCCCTCAGCTACACAAGGTGGCCTGTGGCCCGCTGGCCTGGTGGCGAAGCTAGGTCGTGGGAGACTCTGAGGGTGGCAGAGGCTGGCCGGAGTCCCAGGCATCACGGGATCAGCCTCGTGCGTGTGGTGGTGGGACCCTCGTTTTCCAGGTGGCCGGTCGTGACTCGGTCTTTCTGATCACCAGATGGCGCACGTGCCCCTGTCCCCCCGCCCTCCCTGTGCGGGCTTCTTGCCTTTCCCTGTCACTGCCGGCTTTCCCTCCTCCTCGTCTGCCCCACACAGGTGACCGCCCAGTGCCCCCTTCCCCTGTTTAGGACCTAACCGGCCTCACCTCATGTGGGTGTCATTCCCTGGCCTCCGTGGCTGGTGGCGTTCCCGGGCAGAGAAGTGCCCTCGATCCCCGAGGGGTGAAGCTGGGCACAGCAGGTTGCGCGTGAGGGCTGTGGAGGCGCCGGTATGTGGCGGGAGAACGTTCTCCGTGACCAGTTGTTGGGGCACTGGGTGTTGGCGGTGGTGGGTGCAAGCCCCAACATGGGAGCCCCATGGGCTCAGGAAGGGAAGTATCCGTCTTGGGGCCCAGGGGACCGCTCCTATGCTGGAGGCTTCCGGTGGTGAGATCCCATGGTGTGACCCGGAAGCAGTTCCGGATCATTTGGAATGGCTTCCGGGCCCCTCGCTGTCGCTCGCAGCCACACCACCTCCACCATTGGTCTGTGCCACTGCCGCATCTTTGGCACATGGGTCTACATGGCTGCACTCCGTCAGTGACTCGTCCGTCCTGTCTGCTGATCCCCAGGTCTGTGCTCTGGTGTGTCTCGCTTCGCCGGGCCAACCTTGGCCCTGCTCCGTTGCCCTTTGCCATCTTCTGTCCACTGACGTTGTCACGTGCTGGACCTGGAGGAGCACACGTGCCCCCAGCATTCTCGCGCTGAAGTGCGTTCGCCTGAGCGCGCAGTCCCCGGCTGGCTGCCGTGCCTGTACCGCCCGCCCCCTTGGGGGGCGGGGGTGGAAGCGAGGGTGCCACTGCTGTCCCAGATGTGCCCGGCTGGTGTCCTTGGCCCCACGTCCGAGCCCGCCGGGCCCTCTACGAGGGTCTCCCCATCAGAACTTCGGGCAGAACCGCTGAGTCCCTCGTGGACGGAGCATGGGGGATCGTTCCGCCTCGCCGCGGGTGGAGTGCGTCGGCTGGCCTGGGGTGATCGCCGTCCCCCTTCCTCACCTCGTGGGGTTTCACTGCCACCGCCCTTCACCCCACGCCCAGCACGCCAGGTGCCCTGTGCTCACTTGGGATTCCCAGGTGGTGAAGTAGTGAAGAATCAGCCTGCTAAAGCAGGCAGTTGCAAAAGATGTAAGTTCAATCCCTGAGTGGGGGAGATCCTCTGGAGGAGGAAATGGCAACCCCCTCATGTACTCTTGCCTGGAAAATCCCTTGGACAGAGGAGCCTGGTGGGCTGCAGTTCATGGGGTCGTAGTCAGAGAGGCAGACGCGACTGAGCACATGCACATATACACATGAGAAAAATAATAGAATCCTAGTCACAATTCTTGTGTAAAGAATTTTGTAATGGCTTTCCAGAAATGCCATATTTAGTAGCTGAGTTAGTAGAAGGAAACCCCGGATTACACAGGAGGGTTGAGAAAGTGGTTCCTGTATCAAGTAGGAATTTAACAGGATGGCCTCCTCCAGTTAGAGTCCCCTGGGGCTCCTGTGTGGTGCTGAGGACAGGGCCCAAAATGGGAAGCCCTGGGCCCTGTCAATCTTGATCTTGGATCTGAGTTTCTGACCCCTGAAACCTACACCCCTGGGGATGTTACTCTTCCAGTGATCTCCCTTGCAAGTGGGGCAAGGCCATGGGGCTGGCCTCTGCTTGCCTTTGGGGCATTGTCCCTTAAAGTTTCCATCCTTGCCACAACAGAAACAGACTCCAGGTTTTTGCTTGTGTCCTCCCACCTTTGTAGCCCTAAAGTTAACTCCCTGTAGGGCCATAATGGGAGCTTCAGCCTTTCTCTTATCGCTATTCTCTTTTTCCTTAGGTTCATCCTGATTATGATTTAAGAATACTGATATGGCAGCTCTTACCAGTGTAGGGTAAGGGAGTTAGAGGAGGTGAGGTTCAGAAAAAGAAGGAGACCGGCACTTTACGGAACAAATTCACCTTTAGTGAGGCAAGAAGGGGAAGCAGTCAGATTAGTGAGCTGCTGCACTAACCCAAGGAAAGAGTAAGTATACATAGGCATATATGTGGATATCTACTGTTAGGGGGGCCTGTTCTTCTCTAAGGTTGTCTAGAGTGAATGAAGTTGCCCAGTCATGTCCAACTCTTTGCGACCGCATGGACTGTAGCTCTACCAGGCTCCTCCGCCCATGGGATTTTCCAGGCAAGAATACTGAAGTGGGTTGCCATTTCCTTCTCCAGGAGATCTTCTCAACTCACAGATTGGACCCGGGTCTCCTGCATTGTTGGCAGACGCTTTACTGTCTGAGCTACAGGGAAGTGTTTGGAATAGTTATCTCCTAAACGGCCAGGGTAAGGCATTCTGGAGACCAGCTGGGACCAGCTGGGAGCTGGGCATGATCAACCTTAATGTCCATTTTTTTCTTCGGGTCAGAGTTCTTTGTTTTGCATAGAATGGTGGGGAGGACCTGGAGGGGAGTTTTAACTCCAGGCTATGTTGAGCAGTATTACTTTCCTTCAAGGAGGCCCTCTAAATCTATATGGGGGCCAAAGGCCAGTTTTGGGAGTTTCCTCTGTATACCTGGAGCTGACTGAGTAATAAATTTGTCTTTCAGAATAAGTTTGGGGCATCTAGGTCCAAATAAGTGTGCTTTCTCAGTGCTTCCCCGAGCCTTTCCAGAAAAGCTGTGTGAATTTCCTCCTTTTCCACAAGTCATTCCAGATAGTTTGGAGTAGTCTAAGGGCTTACTTAGCTCGTGATTTTGTTAAGCCTTCCTTAATGCAAGTGATCAAGTGAACTCTCTTCCAGTCATCACCGCCTTTGTCATGTGCACAATTAGGATCGGCTATGGGCACTGCCTGGAGCCCTGTAGGTAACCAGGCTGATTCACTGTCAGGTCTCCCCTGCATGCTAGTAGGATACCATTCATCTCCCCATCCCTGGGCATTTTTAATTACGACTTACTTCATCGTCAGTAAGGGTGCTAGTCAGGATTAGCATAATATCTTTCATGCCATTTCAAAGATTGGTTTAGACCCTGGAAAACACTTATATAATTGTCAGGATCTTCAGTAAAGCTTTCTAGGTCTAATTTAATTTGCCTTAAATCTCAGAGAGGGAAAGGAACATGGACTCCTGTGGCTCCCAAGTCCCCATTAGGAGATTCTTGTAATGGAAGGAGGGAAGGATATAGCCTAGAGATCACCAGTGTTGGGTTAGGAGACACTGGGGTAGGAGCTGCTGCTGGTGCCCAAGGCATTACCAGAGATTGTGGAAGCTCCTGTGGGCTAGGTTTGGGCAGCTCTGGTTAAGGGTGACAGTTTGGACCTAAGGACTTGGAGGAAGTTATAGGCAGCATGGAAGTAGCAAGCCCACAACTCCTGGATTAGAGGGTTTTCTCTCTCAAGACAAAAACCTGTATATATGGCACTTCTGACCATTTTCCTTCTTGTCTACAAAATAGGTCTAGTTGGAGGATGGTATTATAACCAAATGAGCCCTCAGCGGGCCGTTTTTCACCATCAGATAGATCCTATTGAGGCTATGCCTTGGTGCAGAAAAAGATCATACTCTTCTTTACCACGGTCTAAGGGTTAAACTTCTAGTTCTTCAGTATACTTGCCAAAGGCATCCGCTTTGAGCTGGGTGTAGGGCATGAAGAGGTTGCTCCCATCTGAAAGACAGAAGACCAGCGCCCAGTGCTCTTTGTCTTTTCTCCGATTCTTCTAATAGAGGGTGTCCCCACCTTGCACAGTGGGAGCAAAGAAACACCAATAAAGTATGCTTCCCTCAACTTTGGAGTGCACCTGGTCTTGATCATCATTATCCGGTTACCCTGGACTGTTGTCCTCTTCCTGTCTCTATCTTCCTTTCCACCTAGAGATAGATATAGAGTGAGAGCCTAGGTTGGTGGACTCACTGTGCTCTTGAACATTGGGTGTGCCTGAACTGGAGTTCCCCTAAAGCAAGCTATGTAGTGCACAAGGTTAGTAGTATTTACACACACTCCAAAATGATCCTACCTTAAGTGAAAAATCTCATAACCTCTAAATGTTAGGAAAGAGAAATGGTAGATGTCCTGTGGTTCTCACTGAGGCAGCAGCTTAGCAGAGATTTTGCTCAGCACCCCAGTCAATCTGCTGGCTAATACCGAGACCTGAGGCCACTGTCTACTGACTCTGTCTGCCTTTGGGACTCGTGCAGGCTTGTGAAACAGTGGCTCAAGAGACCACACAGCTAGATTAGGTAATGGGAAGTGAATGACAGAGTTGAGAGTGAGTGTCTGTGCTTACCTTGAGTAGGTATTCAGGATTTCCAGACCAGCCCCCAAAAGATGAGACAGGAATCTGAGTTCTTGTCCACGCAGCAAAGAATGGAATCCATGAACATGCAAACACTCATGGTAGTAACTGAATAACATTTATTAAAGAGGAGGAAAGTGCAAAGCTCTCAGCATAGAGAGGGGGTAAAGAGTCACCCCAAGGTGGTTTTGATACCCTTCCTTTAAATCACATTATTTCTAAACATCCAATTTAAAGGTCAAGATACTTAACATCATCTTTATGACTTCTTTTGATCCTTGGATTAAGTCATCCCCCTTTTTCATGCCCTCTGTCCATTTTACCATGGGCCAAATGCGTGGATTTAAGATTAAGGATCACCATTTGTTTTTCCCTCAAGCACATGGAACAGAGTTTAATTGCTGCTCTCTTCTCTGGATCTGAGTGCTGATAATTTATCAGACTAAAGACACATTCCAGGAATTCAGGACAATGGAGCAGGATGTTTACTGAAAACAAGACTGAGGTTTCAGAGTTATACACTGACTGCCTAGTAATTTCTACTGCAGCACCACTGTCATGGCAAAAAGCAAAAAAGAACTAAAGGTGAAAGAGGAGAGTAAAACAAACAAACAATAAAAAATACCAGCTTAAAACTAAGCATTCAAAAAATTAAGATAATGGCATCTGATATTATCATTACGATAATGACCAACCTAGACAGCATATTAAAAAGCAGAGGCATTACTTTGCCAACAA